AACAGTACCCTTTGTTTCCCCAGGATTTGGATTAGTCTTCATTGTTGGCAAAGTAGAAGCCTCAACATTCAAGATATTCAAATTCTTATCAAGGAAGAAAGGCAGGGGCACAGCAATGCAAAGTTCGGTGTCAAAGAGACTCTGAGGGAAGGTAGCCTGCCAAGGAACACCCACAACCCAAGGTACCATTTTTTGCCCATTCATACAATGCCGCTTCACAATCCTAGCTTCTTCTGCAGAGAGTTTAACATCATCAGTAGTTTTCCACTTCACTTTCAACTTGTCTTTAATCTCCTCGTCAGCAATCCATTTAGCAAGCTTAGCATAAATCAGATTAGGAAAGGAAGCCACAAAAGAAGGGATTCAGAAGCGGTTCAAATCAGCTTCATTGAGAGAATTGAGAGAAGCTTCATCAGATCCAGGTTCCATGTGGACAGTAGGATCAGAAAGATGGTTAAAGGTCTTCCGAGACTGTATGGCATTTTTGTCTTCAATTTCCTTGTTCATCTGGAGAACAGATACCAAGGGAAGGCTCTTTAGCATTTTAATAATAGCGGGTGAAGTATGAGTGCGAGGAACACAGGGGGAAGAGTCAGGTGTAGCCACTGTCTGAGAAACAGGTGTAGCGGCAGTCTGAGAGCTTCCAGCAGTAGCCAAGGTTTGAGAGGTTTCGGGAGTGTCAGCCATCACAGAAGTCGAAGAAAAAACATTGAAAAAATTCGAAATTTTCACTGAGGTTGAGAAGACTCTTTTTGCCACATCAGAACGATAATCTGAAGGACAAGGAGATGTAGTCTGGCTGTGAATGACTAAGCAGCCACAAACATGGCAACTTTTTGCAGGCCCCCGAAGCTCACGCCATTTCTTGTCCGCAACTTGTAAGTCTGTCTGTATATTCTAAGCCAACATGATATTGATGCACTACATTGATCAGGGTAGCCTAGTTAAATATTTGCACCTTGAGAAAAGCGATGCTGGACACGAGCGTAGTGTTCCATTTCAGCCTGAGTAACACTCGGAACTAGAGCAACTAGGGCATTATCAAAGTCTACTTGTGAGACAGCCACCAGTAAGTCATCAGGTGATGCAAGTTCAGACAGAAAATATTGCGGGGTCATTGGATAGGGATGTTGACCCAAACTTTCTGGTACTTTGTTCATGTCAGCTGAGAGAAGTACGTCAATAATAAAAGTGCAAAAAACTTCTGCATTGACCTACCTATCTTGGACTCCAAAAAGTCCGCTTTGCGTAACATTGCATTGAGCATCGCATCCGAGCAAAGAGCATAGAAATCAGCCCCGGTGTAGTTAAAGTGGCACTGCTCTGCAACGCGACACAAGTCTACGTCTCGATCAAGTTGAAAGTTCCTCGTCAGGGCTTCAAGAATATTGACCTGGGCTTGGTGGGACTCGCTCACACCCAGATAGAGCAGACGATCAAATCTATACTCATTATTAATGTGCTCGAGAAGAGTCAAGAAAAGATTGGAGACGAACCTTCCAGGTCGTAAGAGGGCAGGATCGAGGAGATCTGGTCGATTTGTCGCACCAATGACAAAAACATCTGCCCCAGCCTTGCCACCAGACATCCCATCCAATTCAGCAAGCAGCTGGCTTACAATACGATCCATGACCCCGCCGGAATCACCCTGGTTACCTCGTTTAGGTGCGACGGAGTCAAGTTCATCAAAAAAGATAACGCATGGTTTTGCATCTCTGGCACGTTGAAACACTCGCCTTACGTTCGCCTCCGATTCTCCGATATACATGTTCAAGAGTTCAGGTCCTTTGACAGAGAAAAAGTTGAGGGAGCAAGAAGTAGCAACTGCTTTGGCAATCAACGTTTTCCCAGTCCCAGGAGGACCATAGAGCAAAATCCCTAAAAGGCGTCATCGGAATGTAGCATCGTAGAAAAGAAACGTTTACGCACCAGACCTCTTCTTGATTCCGTCAGAGAAAAGCTCAGGATGGTCGAGGGGCAACTGTATGGTGTCCAGGATATCAGACTTCACGTGCGCCAAGCCACCGACGTCATTCCAGGAGACATTGGGAATTTTCGGAGCACCGATGCTTTCTGAGTAAGACTCCCTAGCCTTTCCAAGAGCAATTTCAAAATCTCCAGCCGTGAGCGGAATTTCCGCCATATCCAAGTGATCTTCGTCGCAGTCTCTGATTTGAAGTCAGCCTGCAATATCAGCTCCTCATAAATAACTAGCGCCGCACATTGCTTTCATGATGCGTTCAATGGACCTTGATTTCGCCCGAGTGACCAGATCTGTGAGGTCAGCTGCGACCAGCGCGGCAGTTTGCGTTGCAAGGTTTACCAAAGACACATCTGGGGCAAGAAAAGAGTTCTGGAGCAAGGAGCTTAGAATCTCAAGACGTTCTCGTTCGTTTGGAGCCTTTGAGTAGGTTAGTTCTTTAACAGTCTTCGTATACCAGTTGGCACTAGCCTCGAAATTTATCTCATGTTTGAAACAAGCAAGTATCCCGAGGGGAACACTGGCGGGTTCGCACGTCGTTCCGAGAACGATGGCCGGGTAGCCAGTGGCCCCCCAGCTTTTTCGAACGCCGTCAATACCTTCCCGCAATATAGTCAACACAGTCGGCTCTGAATGATATACGAGTTAGTCCTAAATCACAAATTTGGCGAAGCGTTACCTTTATTGGGTTCAAGTGCTTGCGTTGTTTGAGACAACGCTTCCAGATGCCGTAGCACTACTATACAGGGAGTGCAAGCCTGCGCTTGATCAAAACGTGTTCGAAGGAAACCCTCTGTTTCAGCCTTACTCTCGCCTAAAATGTCGTAGCAGTCAATCTGGTAAAGAATCACGCTATTAGAAAGGAAACACGCTGGTATTATAAACATACCTCAAACAAATGCATTCCCAGCCGCTGAGCTACCCAAAAGGCGGTTGTGAACTTTCCAATGCCTCTGGCACCCTTGAGCAAGAGGGATAGCTGTAAATCGTAGTCAATGGCTGAGCGAGCCAAAGCTGCTGAAGATAGAGAAAAGATCTTTCCGAAAGGGGCGGAAGGACGAAGCAAATAAGAAGATTGTTTCACTAAAGCTGAGAATATGGCTCTAGGATTGGCTTGATCTATAAGAGGTTGGTGAGTGCTTCGTAATTTGAGAAGCGACCGTACCCCAATCCAGGTAGCCCCCTATGTCCGGGATTCTCATATGCTCCAGTCCTGTTTGCACAACGCGAGTCGCAGCAGTGTCGACCCAACAGCCAAGTTCACCTAAAGTCGACCCGAGGTACATGTCCTCAGGCTGGGAACTCAGATCCTTTCCCAGGACGTCGTATTCGACATTAGTAACAACAAAGTAGACGACCTCGTTGGGTCGAAGGACAGTTCCTGGATAACTGCCATGTCCATTTTTAGAGTTTTAATCGTTCACCTATCATTGGTAAACTCACTCGTGATCAGTCTCAATTTGATGATCTCCCGAGTCTATTTGTCTGGCCGAACGGGATAAATCTGTGTCAATGGGAACGCCGATAACGTCCCCTCGCTTGATTAACCGCCGCGTAACTTCGAAGTAGCCCTTTAAGGAACTCAAAAACAAGTCCTGATAGGCTCTATTAATGGACAGTGGTGACGCTACTCGAGCGACAATCAAGGTGCGAGCAGTAGGGATGGGAGGCTGGTAAGATCCAAAGGGACTGGGAAGAAGATGTATTGTCGTTAAAGGTCGGAATATAGCATCCGAATCGGGATACATGTTGTGCAACAGCACGGGAGATATCGACATTTGACCTCTATCGCCTTGTATAAGCCATGGCAAATACAAACAATATATGGAAAGCTTACATTGACGTAACTAGAATGTCGTTGGCAATTACGCGGACAAGTCGCAGCCTCGATGGATCAGCACTAGCCACGGCCTGCGTATCGGGTTAGTTGAAAGTCGAGGTAGATAACCGCAATCGTTACCCAGTCACCATTGAGAATGCCAATCCTGGCTAAGTCTGCAGTTCGTAAGTACACAGTGCAATTATCTTCTAAAAGGCCAGTCGCTGATGAAACCGGCTTGAAGCTGTGTCTTTCAGACTTCAATCCTATATTGTGGATATCTTGCGGTGAGCGACCATCCAAACCTTTCAAAGAGGCAATAAACGACGGCTTCAGGAATGAATTCGCAAGAAAGCTTTCGTCGATTTCGATATCATCCGAATCTCCACATGTGGGTTTGACAAACTCGGAGGGTTGTTGGTTCATTGGTTCCAACAGGGTTACTATGAGCTTTGTGGTATTCTTCTCCGCATATCCCTGCAAAACGGGCTGCAGCATTGTAAGTCGGTATTGAACAGGTTCCAGAGTTGCCAGGGGAAGGTCATTGACTGTAATTCCGAAGGAATGAACATCCCCGTAGCGCAAGATGGGGCGCGCATCCGAGAACCAGCTTTCGAGAACAGAGTCTCGCCTCGAAGCAGCCAAGTACGATTCTTGGGATAGCGCGGTGACGATTACTTCCGTCAGTGGAACAGGCCTGACTGATAGCACAGAGAGAAATTCCCTATTAGCGGGATTTTCAAGAGCGTCCCTTGGAAATATGTGGCTATAAGTCATTAACCACGCCGGATGGATAGCCAAAGCATCTTCATTAATCTATACTGCACGAATCAGCTAGATGTAAGAGACTATCGGTGAAGCAAAAGACAAACCGTTTGGTCGAGAATCGCCCAACACGAAACAGAGCTCAAAAGCGATGGGTTGGTTGGATATGGGCGGATAGGCCCAATTGAAATGCAAGCTCGGGTGATATCGTTTGAAGCGAATTTGGTCCAGAGCTTCGAACCGAGAAAAACTGTCTCTTCGTCGACATGGCCTAGCGCGCTAGCTTGGGCTCGTTGTGTTCCGTTCGCTCGTTGTTCCGGCCTGACAATAAATGTGCAATGGGCTGGTGCGGGGCGATTGAAGAGCAAACTCATGGCAGGGTCAGAGTGTCGTGTTTACATAATACTAAATAATCCAAACTTTTTCCTCACTGACATGAATCGTGGTAGCTCAAGGGGTGGCTTTGGCAGAGGTGGAGGTCAGTTTTGTACCCCATTCGCTGATACAAGCTTTGCTTCTAACGTTTTTTTCACAGGTAGGGGTGGTGGGAGGGGCGGCTTCCAACAGCGCGACTTCGGTCCCCCAGACCAAGTTTTGGGTACGCTCACAACCATTTTCATTCCCTGCCCTCATTCATCGTACTTTAAATAGAAATAGGGACATTCATTCATGCTGTTGAAGACGAAATGCTTTGCTCATCCTCGACGACCGACAAAGTTCCGTATTTTAACGCCCCCATTTACTTGCAGAACAAATCCGTTATTGGAAAAGTCGATGAAATTCTTGGTCCTGTGAATGAGGTATATTTTTCAATCAAGATGGGTGAGGGAATGGTTGCAAGTAGTTTTAAGAAAGGTGACAAGGTCTATATTGGTGGAGACAAGCTCCTGCCCATTGAACGGTTTCTCCCCAAGCCAAAAGTAGTTGGAGGTTCGCGTTTTATCTCATCTAAGCTCTCTCCTTTCTAAACCCCGTCGTATAGGTGTTACGAGTGAGCCAACAGCCGCGACTATTATCTCACATGCTCATTTTTGAATAGAACGAGGTCGAGGTCGCGGGGGACCTGGAGGCCGTGGCGGAAGCCGTGGAATGCCAGCCGGGAGAGGTTTTCAACGAGGGGGCGTCCGTGGCCGTGGAGGCTCAAGAGCCGGCTTTGGTGGGAACCGTGGAGGTGGTTTCAGAGGCAATGCTGGTGGTCGAGGTGGACGAGGAGTGCGTGGTGGTGGCTTTCGAGGTTAACATTTGTAGCTCAACTCCCCCACAACCTGATGGCTTCCATTCACTTTCATGTACATTTCGAAAAGAAAAAAAATAGCAAATGTATAGACCATCAATGGAAATTTATTGAGTTTACCTTGCTATTCGTACAACAAAAGCGAGAAGCATCAATCATTTCATGGTTTTAGCACATTGACTTCGGCTGTGGCAGACCTTACTCTCTCTGCCCGGTCTTGTTGCAATGTAATGGTCTAAAGTGAAAGGTCAACCTTGCTATCACCGATGAGGGGAAACTTCAGTGCCTGGTCAAGTTCCTCGAAAAGAGCAGAAGTCTTTGAGATAGCCTCCTGAATGTGTTGGAAACTCTCTAACAAAACTGTCATTTATATTGGGCCAAAAAGAAGGCGAAACGATGCGCACCCCCAGTTTTGAGCAGAACCTCCTCTCCAAGATCATCTAAAGGTTCTGTTATCTCTGGGTCGTTTGCCCGCTGCTGATCCAAGATGGATGATATCGAGGTTCCAAGCTCAAGCGGGACGCTACGTCTCGTCTCCGCAATGCGCCTATGCCACTGTAACCGCGTATCGGCTAGCGACCATATGCGACGATCCAGTGCCTCATCAAATGGCTCCATATCTGCAAGTTGTGTCAGCAGGCATAAGAGCGAAGGAGGAAGGGTGCACACCGCCTTTGTCGTTGAGAGCCTCGTAGTTATGGCCATTGACACGTAAGTTGGGTTGGGCCGTACCGAAGGATAGATCAATGAATTGATTCATATGGGAGAGGAGCGTGTCTTGTTCATCACCGAGACTGGTGGCACCAATCTGAGCCTGTAGGTGAGCTAAAGCCGCGTTCTTGCAATTAGATCGCAACCTCTGCCAGTCGTGCACGGTATCGACGGAAACTCGAGGAATGTCCTCGCGGGAGTCCATCTACGAGGGAGAATGAAAGCAAGTTGTTGTTGGATTCCTGCTATAGATATACATTGAATTGACATTCATAAACTATGATTTTCCCTTCTTCACTATCTTAATGCCTAGCGAGCTTTTCCCGTCCATTTTCTTTCTCTTTGCAACAGCAGGCAATGCTGCCGACCGCGAGGCTATCAAGGCGCGCGCTGATTCGGACAAAAGGTGGTGCATTGCAGGTTCTGTATCTTCTGCCTTCCTTTTCACTGTCACCACGCTCGTCTCAGACAAAGACACCCCTTCTCCACGCGCAGGCAGAGCCACTCTGGAAAACACCTCTTCAACAAGCTTCTCGTCCTCGTGTTCCAGACGTTTTCTTTCCGCGTCCTCCTCATTTTCCACCTCAACCATCTGCGCATGGGCCGAAAGATCCACCGATTGACCAACTCTTTCATTTCTCGCATTTCTGGCTCTTATGTCCTGCAAAGCATCCAATATCTCCATTTCTCTTTTGGAGTCAACCGTTCGATTCTCCAAGGCCTTCATGGGGTTATTTTCTTCTTCTTCGAGCTTTGCCAACCGGTCCTCCTCCTCAACTGCACGTTCATCACGCCAGGGCTCAAAATTTCGAGATGCTCCGTGTTCTGCGGTATAGTCGGTGTTTTTGGGATCTGTTTTGAAGGTTATTTCTGCAGAGCAGAGGGTGCTAAGAACAGAGTGAATGGACGCAAATATGGGAGGCCGGGTAAACGCACCATTTGATGTAAAACCGAAATATCTTGATGCCATAGTAGTCCTCCCCTTCGACCGTTTCCTTGCGTGCGTTAAACTTCTTGCCTTTGTAAACATATTCACCACATGTATTGCATCGCCTGGATGCGAATTAGTACGGTTCCCAAATGAAGGAATGCACGCACATTGAGAAAGGTGCCATTAGACGCACAACTTGCTGAGAATTCTTAGGAAGCTTTCGTCGAGGAATAAGATCTGGGTCAAAGTCCGGTGGGAAGTATTTATTGAGAACTAGAAAATGGGTAAGGATTGGAACAAGAAATGCTGGGATATAATAATGAATACCTTTTCTTTCGGACATGGTGGTCGAGGAGGGAGTTTGAAGGGTGAAGCGCCTCCAGAGGCGCTTCAGCGTCGGTTCAGGTTCAGCATCGATTCGGCGTGTTCCCACGGTTCAGGCATGAAATCAAAATTTTTGAATCGTTCCTGAACCGTTTGTTGAATCGTCGCTGAACCGGCGACTCTGACTCCCCCTAATGAATCAACTTGAACATGTCTTTAAACTTTTGGAAACCCGGTGCCACAGGTCCAGGCAGCAATCTCGACAGGGATTCTCAAACAGAGGAGAATGTCTTGACATCAGCACCATTTTATTCTTCTTCAAGTTATTCTTTACAAGCCCAACGCGAACATCTCCCAATCTTCAAACACCGTGAGTGCCATTTCACTCGTCATACCATAATACACATCTTTTCTTCCAGGTGACAAATTATTATATTCCATTGAAAAATATGGTGTCAACATAGTCGTCGGCCAAACTGGATGCGGAAAAACTACACGTAGGCCCTTTGCACTACAATATTGTAAAGAGTTATCATCGAGTTATCACCAGAACTTCCACAGTTTTTGCGAGAGGCTGGTTGGGCCTCGGATGGCCGTATAATTGCTTGCACCCAACCTCGCCGTGTCGCAGCCACTTCAGTCGCCGCGCGGGTAGCGACCGAGGTCGGAACGACGCTTGGGGCAGAGGTACGTTGTAAGTTGCATCCCTATTCTACCTGACATTTCGCGCAGGTGGGATACACAATTAGGTTCGAAGACGTCAGTAGCAAGGAAGAAACGAGAATTCTTTATCTGACAGATGGAATGTTATTTCGAGAAACCCTAGTAGACCCGCTTTTAAGCCGGTACAGCGTGATCATGGCAAGTTCTAGCATATCACATCTTGTGTATATCACTATTCTAATTCCTTCAAGGTTGATGAGGCGCATGAGCGTAGCGTCTACACCGATCTGTTGCTCGGAGTATTGAAAAAGTGAATAGTCGTCATTGCTCTTCAAGAACAAGTTCTGATCACTTCATCAGAATTCGTAGGAAAAGGCCAGCGCTTCGCATCATCGTTTCTTCCGCTACTCTAGACGCCTCATCTTTTCTTGAGTACTTCGCCTCCACCATGTCTCCGGAAGAGGCAGCAATAGTCAGCCTGGAAGGTCGAATGTATCCTGTTGAGGTTGCGTATCTTAGTGAACCAACCCCCGACTACGTCCGAAAAGCAGCAGAAGTAGCCTGGAACATCCATCTTCAGGTATGCACCGGCTTTTTTGTTATGACGAATACCGCTTGAAGAGAGGGCAGCAAGGACACGGAGATATCCTAGTTTTTCTCACCGGTCGTGAGGATATCGAGAGATGCTTAGAGGAGCTTTCGGAATTAATCCCTTTGTTTGTGAATGCGATTAACTTACCGTTCACTAGTCTTCTGATGCACCATCATTAGATCGCCACCCCACGTAACTCGTTTACTACCCTTGGCTCTTCATGCCGGCCTTACAACAGACGAGCAACTGCAAGTATTTGTACCAGGAGAGAGAGGAACTCGCAAGGTCATCGTGTCAACTAACATTGCAGAGGTGAGCGCTTCCGAAGTGTGATTTCACTAGAGAGCTACATGCCAACAGGCCAGTGTCACCATTGAAGGCGTCAAATTCGTGGTCGATTGTGGATTTGTCAAGGTATCGTAATAAAAAAAATTCTCCGTCGCTCTTTCTGTACGTCCGTTCTCTTTCAGATACGAATTTACAACCCCACAACCGCTCTCGCTTCCCTGGCAACTGTACCGATATCCCTAGCATCAGCTACACAACGAGCTGGTCGTGCCGGCCGAACGTCTCCTGGGATTTGCTACAGACTTTATCCTCTTTCCTCGTTCAACTCTCTCCCACCTGTCACCCCGCCGGAAATTACCCGCACTGACATGACAACTCCGATCCTACAATTGAAATCTATTGGGATAGATGATCTTATGAAATTTGAATGGTTGACAGCACCGCCAGCGGAAAGTGTCCTTCGTGCTTTAGAAGGTCTTTTCGCCGCAGCCATGATCGACGACCGCGGCCACCTCTCTGTGGTCGGAGAGCAAGTTGCTGAATGCCCAGTAGAAGTTGGCATTGCACGAATGGTACCTATTTCTCTAGCTAGACTGTTGCGGTCTGATCAATTTACCTAGCTTTTTCAATCCAAAGAGTTTCAATGCGGTGAAGAAATTTTGACAATTGCTGCCATGACCACGGTTCAAGTATGAGTACTGGTTCGCTGTCATCATTTTGTGAGTAACGATCTTTCCAGGACGTCTTTGTCATACCAGATGGTGCACCTGGTGCACTGGCGGAGTTGCAACGTCGGAAATTCACAGCTGAAGAAGGGGTCAGTTGTCACCCTTTTTGCCCCGCTACTTTAGAGACTGATGATTCGTGCTAGGATCACTTGACACTTTTGAATGGTATCTCCCTCCTTGGACCATAAGGCCCACACTGAATTTACTATTAGCTTTCAATGCATTTTCCAAACATGGCCGTTCCTCTACGTGGTGCAAAGCCCATGCCTTGTCGTTTCGAGCGATGTCTCGAGCAGTATCCATTCGTTCACAGCTGAAGAAGTACATGCAACGTTTCAAACTGCCGCTAGACAGCTGTGAGGGGGATGCAAAGCGATTGCGGCGATGCCTTGTGAGTGGATACTGGCGTAATGGTGCAAGGTGGGTGGCGGACGGGACATATCGATCTGTGAGGGGAGAGAAAGTAAATTCTGTGATGCAATCGGATGGAGTGAGCACTAACGTCTTTGCCAGATTTTGCATGTACACCCAACTTCGGTGCTATTTACCCGAAAACCTCGTAGTGGATGGGTGGTCTTTCACGAAATGGAAGAAACCAAGAAAACTCAGTAAGTGGAAAGCTGGAAGCAACTGAAGGTCGCTGACTTTACACAGGATTCGAATCCTTACTGAGATTGAGCCTGATTGGTCAGTAAAAACGGGTGTATTTTTGTTTGATACTAAAGTTTCTTCGACAGGCTAGTTGATCAAGGACTGAAGTTTGACAAGAGGAGAATAGTAGAATGATCGTGTGAATTTACAATATTTGTTCCGAGTCTTAGTACTTCAGTACTTCAGTCATTCTGCAGTCATCCTTTACAGTAACTTACTGCAACCTCTGTCAAATATGGGCGCAAGCCAGTCAAGGACGGAAAGTGACGAGAAAATATTTCAAAGCGAAATTCCCGTTTCTGTGCGATTCCCTGACTCCACATTAAACCCACCCTCATTGTTCTCTCAAGCTCTCCCAAGAGGTTGTCAACCACCTTTCTGACCGACTCGACTCTCCAGAAACGACACCGGAACGCCAATCGATTCTCGATGCTCATATCCGTGCTCGTATCCAAGGCGAACTGGAACGTCTACGAAAAGACGAAGAGGACATTCGCTATGAAATCGAACGAGCTTTAGAAAAGGAAAACTTGGACAAGGAGCGAAGTCTGGCGGGTGAGGAATCAGAGGGTGGCGGAAGCTCTGGGGGACTAAGAGGTAGCACGGCGCTGCTCGCGGACTTGGAAGAAATGCGAAGCAAAATTGACAGGTACAACACGCGAAGAGATTTCTCAAAGTTTCCTGAGGTCAAAACGACTGGTGAGGCTGTCGTCGAATGCTATAGGTGCTTTTTCAGCCGCTTCAACATCCCCTTGTCTGATAGTTCGTTTTTAGACAAAACAAAACCACCTCCCTTGACTGCTGGCAGGAGGTTAGCAAGTTCAAAGCCTCTGTCGGACAACTAGAGCAGGTATGCTCCTTTACAAATTCTCGTCGTAAGCTCACATTATGCGTAGACGTACTTTAAATCACTATCATAATGTCTTCACTAGTTTTCACTGCTCATCACAATCACGCACGCGGGGAGGAGGAATTAATATCTTTATCCAAACTGACAAGGCGCGCGTGCACTGAGGGTTGATATATGATAGATAGTCCATGTCTAAATGTTCCGAATCTGCACATCTCCGCCGAGCAGAACAGCGAACCATGCTCCCACTGCTAGACACAACTAAATTCTTGCTAAATTCGTGGCACTTCTTCGTTGCGGTCACCGATTTGTTACCGCGATCGCTGATATGTATGTACATAGCTCTTATGTATTTCAGTTTGACGCTCCTACATATGCAATGTATCAATCTCGGCGAGGTTAGCTTCGTTGAGGGCTTCTGCATCAGCCAACAGCCTTTCCTCCAGGACACCGACTCTTATCTGTGACTCCTTCCTCTCCAGCTCTAGCTCTGCATACCTTTCTTGTAAGAGTCGCTCCCTACGTTTGAGTTGTTCAACTTCTTCCTTGAGGGAAGCCACCCTCCGAGGCAGCCTCCTACCCAGCCGTCGTTCCGGGGATTTCAAAAAAAAACGAGCTACATTTCCAGATATTATTTGACCTGCAAAATATAAAGTTTAGATTACAAATACAATCAATGAATCATTGATCCAATCATTTATTTTACTAGAGGCTGACACTTAGCAGCGGCAGCAGGCACCTTGCTTGCTGACAAATACACTGCTTTGCACCAATATGATGCGACTTTTTTTTTCGTAACAAAGGAAACAGTGTTCAAGAGCTATAGCGCTACATAGTTATGTATATAAACATTGGAGCTGGCGCTAAGAAAGAGACGACAATATCATGTTTTGAAAAGACCAGTTGTTTGCACCCGATGGCCTGTAGAAAGTTTGTTTGTTCATGCTTGCCCGCTCGCGTGCGCGATATGCAAGAAAAGACCCCCATGGCCCCTGGGTAGTTTGTTTGTACCTGTTTGGTATTTATGACCTTGGGAGACCTTGACAAGCAAGGTGACCTGCATAACTGTAGACCATATCTAAATTTTACTTTGTGCACCTTTATTTGTACAAACAACCATATTAGGTAGAATAGACTCGCAAGCAAGAGGTGTCAGATTGGTCGATTTGTGATGTGTGATCTGGCCACGCAAGCTTGACACTGGTAATTTCCGAGGGTCGGTATGTCAGTGGCAAAGTGATGGCTCA